ACTTGAGGATGTGGGCCATTCTGACTGGGGTAAGGTGGTATCTCAGGGTTGTCTTTATTTGCATTTCTTTCACAACCAGGGATGGCGAACATTTCCTCATGTGTTTCTTTGCCATTTTTATCTCTTCTTCTGAGAAGTCTCTCTTTAGTTCTCTTGCCCATTTAGTGATTGGTTTGTTAGGTTTGGGAGGGATTCATTTCTTGAGTTCTCTGTCTATACTGGGTATTAACCCCTTGTCTGATATACTGCTGGTAACTATTTTTTCCCAGTTAGTTGTTGTCTTAAGGGAGTGAAGACCTGACCGTAGCGCACGCGCCAGGAGGGAAGGCCGTCCTGGAGTCAGAGCGGCCGTGGCTCTCCTCCATTGCATGCTTGTGTCTTGGGAGATTGTCTTGGAGGAGGAAGGGTTGAGCTGTGCACGGCTGTTCCTTTTGTTTTCCATTAACATTTGTAAAATGTCTCTTTCGTGCTGTGTTCATCAAGGTTTTAATTCTGTAGTTTGTCCTTTTTTTTAAAGTGGTGCGCAATTAAGGTTTAATGTGTCATCTATGTTTTGCAATGACATTTTCTTTACTGCCTTTTACATGTATAAATTGGACTGGTGCTCATGAGTGCCTCCTGATTTCCAGTTCCAGATAATTACCTCTGTTCCTTCATATATTACAGAATTAAGAGGACGAGCAGGTGAGCTCAGGTGAGCTGGGTTCGTCACTCCATGAGGCTGCTGCGGGAGGATGGTCGCGATGGTCTGAAGGCGGCTGAGCCCTGAGCGCTCAGCACTGCCCATTAGCCCCCCTTGTCTGTGTGGAGCTCTGCGCGCTGGGCCTTAAGCCTCCTTGGTGCTCTCAGCCCTCGTTCTCCACTTGGCTTTGCTGGTGGAGGTATAGCTAATGGGATTTGAAATCTATTTTTCTTTTTTTTTTGTTGGTCCTGGGGCTTGAACTCTAGGCCTGGGCGCTGTCCCTGAGCTCTTCAGCTCAAGGCCAGCACTCTACCACTTGAGCCATAGTGCTACTTCTGGCCTTTTGTGTTTATGTGGTGCTGAATCGAACCCAGGGCCTCATGCATGCCAGGCAAGCACTCTACCACTGAGCCACCTTCCCAGCCCAGAATGTGAAATCTTGAACAATTTTTTTTAACTCTCTGTGGACCTGGGATTGGACCAAGATAAACCATGTCTCAAGTCTGTATTCATTGCTATGTTAGCACCTTGAGATAGCGGCAGATTTCATGAAGTCAAAGCAAAGCCTGACTTGGGAAAGTCTCTGGGAGAAGCAGAGCTGCTATAAATCTTCAGGGTTCAGCTGTTGCAGGTTAAGTGTAGAATCTGTAGGAAAGGCCTGAGGACAGGATTTCTGCTGTAGCTTTGAGGTAGAGTGTGTTCTCCGGGAAACCTTAGTCTTCGCCCTGAAGACCTTCAGCTGATGGGAGGAGGCCCATCCGCTTGGTGGAAGGTTACCACCTGGTGGAAGGTTACCACCTGCCTGCGAAATCCCTGCAGATCAGCACCTGACAGAGTCTGACTAAACCCCTGGGCACTCTGCCCTAGCCACCCAGACGCTGCTAACTCACCCTCCGCCTGCCCTGCGCTGAGTGAGGGAGACTGAGTCAGAGCCCTGTCTGTCGGCCCAGATCCACGGTGACCGCCTTTGCTGTGGGATGGAAATGCCTGCCTCTCATTCTTCAGGATCTGAAGTGGGGGCCTGGGGGCCGGCCTTGGGCCTGGCATGGCCTCTGTCTGTCAGGCAGTAGCTCCTGGCTGGCAAAGGCAGGCTGCGTGCAGCGGGGAGGCACGAAGGGCCTCCTTCCCACCAAGCAGGTCACCTCCAGCGAGGTGACAAGATGACACCACGTGGTGATTGTGGTTACATTTTCAGAATGTTGTCGTGTGAACCCGGGTTGACGCTGTGGTTCCCAAAGCCTCGGAGTCCTGTTAAAAAGAAGACAAAGCTGGCTGAGGTGCCGAGCTCAGACAGGGTTGTGTGTGCGTGTGTGTGTGTGTGTGTGGGGTGTATCTGGGTGTGCGGACCTGGGGCTTGAACTCAGGACGCGGTGCTGTCCCTGAGCACTTGCTCCAGGCTAGTGCTCTTCCACTGGAGATGGAGTCTCTGGGACTTTGCTGCCAGGGCTGGCTTTGAACTGCGGCCCTCAGATCTCAGCCTCCTCCTGGCTTTCCAGGCCCAGGGCCGAGCCTGCTGGGCTGCAGCCGCGCGTTTTCTGTCTTGCAGGGGCGGACGTGGACGCCCGGGACCCCCGGCGGGGCCTGTCGCCGCAGGAGTGGGCCGCGTTCACGGGCCGCGCCGAGGCCG